CTGTCTGGTAGGGAATGGGGGAATGGATCCCTATCATAGTCCCTTAAGGTCCCTTATAGTAGTCCCTATAACCCATTCCCCCATTCCCTACTAAGCACCAGACAGCTTTGCGCAACAGCTGGGGGACGGGCATAGACTTCTCCGGGAGCAAAACGGCCTTCAGCCGATCCTCGGCCAAGGGTCTAGGGTTTAGGGTTTAGGGTTTAGGGTTAGGGTTTAGGGTTTAGGGTTAGGGTTTTGGGCTTAGGGTTTAGGGTTTAGGGTTTAGGGGGTTTAGGGGTTTGGGGGTTTAGGGTTTAGGGTTTAGGGTTTAGGGGCTTGACGTTTTGCTTTCGCAGATGACTGTCTGACACCGGATCACCTGGTCGTGTCAAGCGCGTCATCGGGACGAAGACTCTTGGCCGGGTCCGGCTTAGGGTTTAGGGTTTCGGGTCATTGATCTCGAAGTTTGAAGCTGGCAAGCCCAAAATTCACTTGGTTTCGAGTAGAATCCTATCCCCCCAGGTACCTACTATATAGGGTACTAGAGCCCCTACTAAGACCCTAAACCCTAAACCCTAAACCCTAAACCCTAAACCCTAAACCCTAAACCCTATATAGTAGGAACCATGTAAATCCTATCAGGCCAAGCCAAGTTCTCCTTGCGGCCGCAACCGGAAAGGTAACCGTAGAGCCACGGTAAGAGGAGCCTCGCATGGAACAAGTTAAAAGCCTGAACTCAGTAGGGTTTAGGGTTTAGGGTTTAGGGTTTAGGAGTTTAGGGTTTAGGGTTTAGGGTTTAGGAGTTTAGGGTTTAGGTTTAGGGTTTAGGGTTTACGGCTTAACCCTGAATTCAGGATCAAACCCTAGGGGTCCAAAGGACCCAATAATTAGGTACTCGGTTTTAGGATAGTAGTTATGTAGGTTAGGATTTTGGAGAGNNATTATTAGGTACTTGGACCCTTGGGAAATAAAACCCTGACAAGAAGCCGCCTATTGAAGGAAGCCTATGGCAATGAAGGAATGCCACTCTCTACAACCCTTATGAAGCCGTTTTCAAAAAAAGTTGAAACCCTCCCGAGTTGTTCCAAGTTGCCGCCAGGAAGTCGAGCTCAAAGGGCGACTCCATCTCGGCACGGGCTGCATTCCTGGTGATTGATACCGATGTGGACCCTTTCATCGAAAGCTACTCCTTGGAGGCTTTGGACCCCGCGATACCGGCCAATGCTGTCTAGTGTTACATTCGAATGCTTGAGGGTGTAGAGGTTTGCGCTTAGGGTGAAGGGGTTTAGGGTCGAAGGCTTACACAGACCCTCAGCTGTTATCGTCCCTGTTTTGTTGGTTACGGTGGTGCATTGTTCACCATCCCGACCACCCAAACATGACAAGCCGGAGAAAACCCTTAAACCCGAAACCCAGAAACTGCGAGAACAGCTATTGCTTCTTCTTCAACGCCTCAACAACACTATCTACTTGACGTCACGACATACGTCCCAAACGCGAAGCACAACTGCAGTAGTAGTAGTAGTAGTA